AAGGGGAAAGGAGGTGCCCGTTTCGAGTTGGTGGGACTGTAGGTTGGCCTCTAGGTACTGGCCGGTCTTGGTGCGGTTGGCCGAATGGCGCATCAGAACACTGAGATGGTGGAAGACTTGAAGGGCGTAAGGATGCGGGATACCCAATCCCTGGTACTTCAGAGGGGCGAAGACCACAACGCGGGGAAAGGAACGGCAAACCCCGGCTTTGTGCAAACTCGCTTGGAGGATCGGGGACATGATGGACACCCAGTCGGAGCGGCCCAGCGTGGAAAGGGGCATCACGTACTCCAAGGTTTTCAAGGCGGTTGCCTTGAGCAACGGAAGAACGTCATAGCAAAGTAGATGTTGGGGACGGAACTTGGCTGCCCAGTTCTTGGCCTTCTCCCGCAGGGCAAGGTGTTGTGCGGTTCCGGTCTCAAGTGGGGCCATCATGACGCCCAGGGTCCGTTCAGCTTCGTCGGGTTGGAGGCGTCGTAGTGTCGCCCACGGCCCAGTCGGGTCTCGGAGGGTCAGTTCGCCAGGCATTTCAGCCTTCCTTCGAAACACCCATGTGCCAGAGGACGGCCGCCATTTGAAATCAATCAGCCACCAGAAGGACTTCGCCGGGTTGATAGCTCCACCAGTGGCACTGATGCCACCCGACCAAAGGTCCAAAGCCGACTGTACCGACGGGAGGAGGTCTTCGCCAGTCGTCTCCACGTTGTCGTTGGACTCCATGACATCCACAAAGCAGAAGCACGAAGCGAAGAACTCCTCGTTGGTGAGGGCAGTGCTGCTCCTGTACCCAAATCCCTCGGCCTCCATGGCGTCAATGAGGATTGCACTGATCGCCACCCAGATGCATGGGCCTGCGCCATTGCCTTGGCCGCAGCCCTGGAAGGGAACATTGCCAGTGGGCCCAAAGGTCCGATCCGAGTCGCCAAAGCCAGTTCGGACTCTGTGTTTCGCCTTTGCCAAGATATCGAACATTAGGTTGGTGACAGTGACCGGCAGGCCGAATCGCCGCAAGGCCGTCTTCGCCACCCAGTGAACGATGCGATCGAAGCAAGACTTTGCGTCGTTCGAGATCCACCCGGAAGACCGTCGTTCCAGGATGAGCGAGTCCCAGATCAATCGTTTGGAAAGGGCAAGATCAATGGACTGGTGCTGCTTTCGTGACCCACACTGTCCTTTAGGGATGATGTCATCCTCCTCAGCATTCTTCATTGCCGCCCGACCCGCCTTCTTGTAGTTGGCCTGAGCCTCCGAGTTGAACAGCTGGATGGTCCGCATCCCTTGTGGGCGGAAGTCGCCAGGCTTCTTCTCAATCGCAAAGTTCATCAGGTTCTTCCAGAGTTCCGGAACGTGGCCTGAACGGAGTGGAAGGTCCCGAAACGCCGTATCACAAGAAGCTAACAGTTCCGAAAGGGCGCCTGCCTTGAAGTGGCCATTATGGAGGCCGTGGGGCTCCGAACCCTTGTTCTCAGGAGTGCGGCTCCAAAAGTCCACGTGCTCTTCAACCGTCAAGGGGAAAGGACGAGGCCGATAACTGTCGTGCAGTCGACAGTGGCGAAGGAAGGCTTGGGTAGGGTAAGCAAGGCCACCAGGGATGGGGAGTTTGCCCTCCAGAAGAAGTTGTTGGTTGTTGTCGGCGTCGGGGCCCGTGAACATAGTGTAGAGAGGCTCAGACATGGGAGGAGTGGAGTGCGGGGTCTGGGTTTGTTGATACCGGGCCCTATTTTCTTGCATGCATCCATCTTCGACCGACGTCGGGTCAGTAATGGTCTGTAACCGACAATTGCCAGAGCTGTCCTCCATTTCGACTTGAATAGCCCTTAGACCGCCAGACAAACCGGAGGAACGAGCTTTGCGTCTCCGACGGGTCTCCTCGCGTTGCTTCATGGACCGCAAGCGGTGATATCGTTCTCGTTGGCTTGCCGTTTTATGACGGACTTTAGCAATGCTCTGGGTGCGAGTGGTGACATGGGCCTTCCGCCATTTAGAAGTGAGGCCCCTTTTGGCTTCTCTATACCGACCAAGGTCTTGGGTGAGGTGAGTCTCAAGTTCAGCTGTAGTCATCTTCCAGGCCAAGGGTTCGTTCGTCTTGAGCAGCAGGCGGCGAACCTTCCTGGAGCTCACACGGCACCGACGTCGACCCTTGAGGAGAAGCCGCCACAAGGTGATCCGATCCCGAATGGATTGGCCTTGCGGGGACCATTCCGCCCCACCCATCGACAACTTCCTGCAGTTCTGCTCCGCCAATCGTCGAACTGTGTAGGCATCGGCGTGTATCCGATCGAATCTGACCGATTGGGATTTGGTGATGCCGCCCTGCTGTCGGGCAACGTCGAATCCCAGGGTAGAAAGACGGCCGGGAATATTGTACCGCATGTAACCCTGCTCCGCCAATTGGACGTATCGTTGAACCACCCGTTTGTTATGCATCACCAGCCGGCGTGGGACATGGGTGGATTTTGTAGGTTTGTGTCCGCCAAGGAGACTGCGCAAGTCAAAGTCGATCCACAGGCCACGATGATCGGAGGCAACGTGTTCGTCAAAAGGGTAGTACCCGGCGGCCAAGATGGGCACGTCAGGCGTCGCAAAGATACCGTCAATCGGATACCCACGTAGGTTTCGCTGGTAAGTGGCCTGATGGGACCCTGGGTGCTTAGACTGGATCGCCTCGATCAGTCCCACTTCGCTCATCCGAAAACGGAAAGACTTCGGGGAGTAGGAGGACAAGTCATCGTTGGCATCGATGCCCAAGATGATGGAACAACCGTCGTCGCGCCAGGTGTTGATTGCCGTCGAGAGGTCCTTGATGAAAGCTTCCCTGGGTTCAGCGTCGCGGTGGGTGCGGCTGAAATGGGCCTTGTGTTGGAACCACACGGTTTGATGCCCGTCGTTGGGTGGGTTTGGTCGGTAGGCAGAGATGACCACCAAGTCGCGCTGGCCAACGCCTCGTGTTCGGCCATGAAGTCGGATCCAAGCCCATCGCCCCAAGCTATCGTCGCCACTGGACCGGACTCGATGGGAGACTTCGTTGAAGGCAGAAGTAGAACAGCCCCCAAATTGGGTGGTCGAATGGGCAGTCCGTGGTTGATGGGTGTTGTAGGCCACCGCCGAGTGGGAACCTTCGCCCTTCCGAGCCATAGTACTGGCGCGTTCACGCCATCGGTTGGTTGGTGTAATTGCTGGCCAGAATTTATTCAATTCAGCCAGAAGTAAAAAGTCCACACGTTCGCTTCGAATCCAGTGGTTCAGCTGTGCTTGTTTAGGGTCGTCCGACGCATCAGGAATAGTGTTAATATTCTGGAAGGCGAGTCGGGCGGACCCCGGTGCACGCACGAGATGGTTGTCACCAAAACCATCTCCTGGAAGGAAGGAACTTAAAAGGGAATCAAGAGAGGTGTGTGGAGCCGCTCTTGACCGGTTGCTGTAGATAAACGATCCATGCCTGTTACGCCGCAACCGAGCGGCAGGCGATCTTTTGTTTATCATGGACCCGTCGTGGGGGTACTGATACCCCCACGACCGGTGTCCATAGGAGAGGACGCATTGGGTTGGTCCTCCCCATCTTCTCCGTCCGTGTCTTGAGCCATCGCTGGTGAAGCAATGGTACGGGCCGAGGGACTGAGTAGTGTAGTAGTGCTGATGCGTGTTTGGCCCGGTGGACCGGTAGGAACGTCCACTGTAAGCATAGGAATGGGCCTAACGTCTGTAGCCAACTCTGACATAGCAGCAGCTGCCTCGTGGGCGGCCTTCATTGCCTCCAATTTGTCACGAACGGACTGTAGGTCCCGGTTCAAACTGTTCCTCTCGTCAGTGATAGTCTCAATGGTCTGAAGAGCGGTCTGGAGTTGGGCCTGGTTTTCGTTCCAGTCGTCAAGGTAACCAATCACGGATAGGCCATCGTCCACGTCCCGAACATGTTTGGCGTGGATGTCGATGTGGAGGGTGCCCTCGAGAATCTCTACGGGGTCTTCCATGCAGAGAAGGAAGTCCATTGGGTCACGGACTTGATCACCTTGTTCGTCGGTAGGGTCGTCAATACAGCGGGAGCGAAGTTCCGACGGGACCCATTCAATGTGAAGCTTGCGATTCTGGTAGGCAAGGTCGGTAGCTGACCAGTTCTTGATGACGCGGATGAAATTGGGGAACGACGACTCGCCAAGGTGAAACTGAAGAAAGGACGGCAGGTTGTCGAGCACGTTCATCGCGAGAGGGAGATAGCGCTGGCGAACCACCACGAAATAGCATCCATCTTCCTCGGCTGGTAAGATCATGACAAACAGAGGGCTTGGACTGTCGTTGGTGAGGTCCATCTTTGCTAGCTTGTCGATCCAGGCATCGTCGTCCTCGGGAGACTTGGGTGCAGTGAGGAGCGAGGTTTTCGTCTCCTCCACAGGCTTTGGAGTGGAGGCAACCAAAGACTTTGTGATGATTGTGGTCCACTCAAAGGTCGGGGGGCCATCATCATCGTCGTCGTCACCGGACGACTCGCTATCACTCAGCACCTCTATGGCCTTGGCAGGGGGCTTCGTGGGTTCGGCGTCCTCCGCCTTCTTGGCCTGGGCGCCCGTGACAATGACGGCAATAAGGAATCGCAGGAGGGTGAGCTTCCCAAAGTTCTCAGTGACAGCAGAAGTCAGCATGCCCGGGAGTTCGAT